TTTTTTTTTTTTTAACTTGACCCTATCGCATGTCAATTCTTGTAAACTAATTGCATTTATCACCTATTCCACATGCAGAGGGCATTGAAAGTCATGATAAGCAACAACTATACTTGTGAAAGCCCTTGAAATATGATATTTTTCTCTTTTGTTAAATATATCACTTATTTGAAGAAATGAGAAAGCAATTTATCTTTGGTTGGAGTCTATTGGAGATAAAACAGAGTTTCTGTTTGTATACTGTTGAAGGTCACCTAACCCTCAAGAGAGATATGAGGAGTCAATCTTGCCCATTTATGCAATTATGCAATTTTCACACATGTACAAACCAAGGGAGTAAGGTTTGAAATAAAGGGTGTGGCTTGTCATTTAGGAAATACTTTGGCAAACTGGCCATATACTTGTAACACCCCAAAGGCAGGAGTTACAGGTGAAGTTTTTATCATGACTCATAAGTGACCAGGTCCTAGATCTCAGGTCCCAAACATGGTCAGGACACAAACTATACAAAAGGATTGCTTGTAATTTTTAAAATAAACAGAATCAAACAAGTTTACTCTTAACAGAGAGACAAAATGCAATTGTTTTTCTTAAATTTATAATGAGTAATGAGAGACTATTGAAGACAAGTTAAAGCAAATTTTTTACCACCTTTACCACCTATAGTACCTCATATTATCATTTAAAATTGATTGGAATTCTTGAAAATTCAAAAGGTAACAGGCTCGCTTTACCGGTTTGAAAATTTATTTTACCTCTCATGCTTAAAATAAGGGAGAACCCTGCATGGCAATCAGGTGGACAAGCAGACATGGTTGATGCTACTCTGGTTCAAAGATTTAATGAATGAAACCAAGACATTACAATTCATAGACCCAACATTTTGACTCTCCTGTCTAGTGCCTTTGTCAGGGGTCACCCCTTTTTCAGTCTTAAAATTACCATGTACTTTTACCCTCAATGAACACCTTAAATATTGCAAAACCCATGTAAGAGATGTCCTGTGGACCTATCATGGACATCTTAGGGATCTTATTGCTTCAGCTTATGGTCACTTCTCTGATTGCAGAGTTTGTGATTGAATAGTCACCTATGCAAATTGATGACACTAATGAAAATTTCAAATATGTGGGGCCACATCCAGAATTTGTGCGGGTAAGACAACCTTTTCATTCATCACTCAGAATACATGTACCGGTACCTGAAGATCTGTTCTGCAAACTTTCTTATGTATTCTATTGAGCATATTTTGTCTTGTTCCTTGCTCTAAGTGCTCTCTATATGTTCTACAGCACCAGCCTGGACTGAATACATCTCCATTAATCCCCACTTGTGGCTGTTGTGTAGTTGTCGCCATAGCACAAAATTGTGGTTCATCTACAACCAGCAATGTTTTCTGCCAGAAGATCAATAGCAGTGGAACTGGTGAAGGAAAACCCTTCCAGCTACAAAAGTTAGAGAACAGATCTTTCTGGACAAATGAAGAGGTAACAAAGAAAAGACTCAATGTTGGATGTCTTCTGGAATATCAAGTTGAATCAAGCTGTCAAAGCCACCTAGGAAGATCCAGCAAGCTGTTTATTTTTCGCGGGAATGTCAGTTGTAAACCACAGGTAAGCTTTCAACAGTGCAGTTGTCAGCTGATTTTTGAGAAACTTATATTGTCTTAGTGTCTTGGCAAATTTAGACCCCCCCTTCCCCCTGCAAGACTTGTTTTTCAATTTGCTTTTTTAGTTTTTTTTTTTTTTTTTAACTTGACCCTATCGCATGTCAATTCTTGTAAACAAACTGCATTTATCATGTATTCCACACGCAGAGGGCATTTTTTTTATTGGCCCAACCCAAACTTGCAGTAAATCTAAGTTTTACTCTAGCTTATGATCCTCTTCCCATCCCTTGGAGCAAGAGGTGACAGGAAGAAGAAAGCCCTGAGCTGGAATGAGGGTGTAGAGGTGCCAACAAGATTTCTATTTCATATTCTGTGGTACTAAAAAGATTGATTTCTGTTTCCTGAACAGGATGTGGATAAAATACTAATGGACCTCGAAGATGATGAAAGTGTTTATAGAGGACTTAAAGAGGCACATGAATGTTTCAACCTAGAGGTAACTAATTGTACGCTGTAGCTTAAGGGATATTTGCAAATGAAACTGACCCATTATTTCTACTCTTTCTTGTGAGGAATATAACAGTTTATTGTAAGTTACTTTCCAGCATCATCTCTATTTTACAGACATGTGTTGATCTGGTGTTCAATCTTGACCAGAGAAAGACAGTGTGAAAGGTTTTTCAGTCCTTGTGTTCATTGTGGTTGGCAGATTTTCTGTTGAGTGTTCTCTTTTTAGGCAGTAAGCAGTAACATTTACCACCTATAGCACCTCTTATTACCATTTAAAATTGCTTGGAATTCTTGAAAATTCAACAGGTAAAAGGATTGCTTTACCAGTTTGAAAATCTATTTTACCTATCATGCTTAAAATAAGGGAGAACACTGCTGTTTTTTACCATTTGGTTTTTGGCTTTCATCTATAATACTAATGGACTTTCAGATTTGGTATTTCATGTGGTTTTCTGTTTTTCCTATTTGGGTTCTCCTTTCACTTTCGATCTGAGCAGCAATTATGTGCCTCCACTTATCTCGAATAGCAGTAAAACCTCTGTATGCTGCACTTGTCACCACTGCATCAGATCGATTAGGGTTTTCTTAACTGGGATCTGAAAATTTATTGATTTTGACAGTTTTACATGCAGTTTTCAGTTTTGATCAATTTTTTTGTGGTTTTGCAGTTTTGGATGTTTTTTTTTCTATGGTTTTGCAGTTTCTAATAGACCCCAATAACCCCCCCTGGAAGTGAAGTATCTTGGTGCCTAAGACCTTGCTAAGTAAGGACTGAGCATACTATAGGTATACCCCACCAGATGCAGTCAGTATATCTTTAATTGCACTTTTTCTCATTGAAAGTTTCACAGATTACAAGCCCATTCAGCATGTGCCAGAATTTTCTTTATTGGAATAAGGGCTGGTACGATCAATAATGAAAGAATCACTCTGGAGACAATAAATGGAGAGTGGTCAGAAATGCCTCTGAACTGTAGAGAAAGCCTGGTCTTATCCACAGAACCAGTTCATTTGCAACTTAAGAGGCCATGGGATGTAGCTGATGATGTTGTAGGTGGTGTGGCAGTTGTTAAGTTTGATGAAGCCAGGAAAGCTACTTGTGAGGGCCTGATTTCAAGTAAGTGATCAGAATTATGCATATGTTATTAAGCTTACTGCATGACACAAACAATAGAGCCACTGACTCACTTGGAAATTTTATTTGCCAGTATTTGTCATGTCAGATATCAACAATTTTATATGCCAATCATGGCAATTGGCGAAAATTGCAATCCCAGCACTGGACACACCCAGTAATTTTTCCCTGATTGCTGCAACAGGCATATAAAATTGCCAGGTGATTAGCAGTAAATATTGTGTATTGAGTTAAGTAATACATATGCAAGCCATAGAGAAGCAAACAACTTAGGGCCAACAATAAGATCATCACACTAAATTTTATTTATATAAAACCGAATATGTTGTGAAAATAAAACTTACTTCAGAAATTGGGAAGAAAATCTTGAACTGGAGTCTAAGTTAATGATTACCAGCACCAAAACCAATTTCCAGAATTTCATTAAATTAGGTTGTAAGATGTAAAACCTGTACCTTTAAGTGTGAAGGTACCAGTAATTAACCAAATGAAGTTAAAGTAATTGAATGTTTATATTGATTTTGATTGAGAACCAATGTTTATTCCTGGTTCCTATCAAATGTTCTGTTACTATCGACTGTTACTATCCTGAATAGAAATTACTGGTAACACATTTACCTTGGCCAAATTATTATTGGCTCTGTCAGTGTTTATTTGCAGTCTTTGCTTATGTCTTTGGATTTAGCAGTTTTGCCGTGTATTAGGTAACTACCTCATTATTAGCAGATTAGATTACAGTAAGCAGGGGTATCAAAATGTTTTGAAGTAGACACCAGACAGCAAAAGTAGATGACTGTGAAAAGTTCATTGAGGGTTTAAAGGAAATTGTTTTGACCAGAGTAACCAGCAACATGTTATAAAGTAGCAGGTGGAACTCTGGCAGTGATAAGCCTGTTTTAAAATCCTTGAGTAAGCCTGAACTTCAGAAAATTTTGAGAAAACTAGCTTCTTAATCTACCCTGCAGTTACCATTTTGTATTTTTATACTGTTTTCAGGGTATAAACCCTTAGTCATATTGAGGGATGAAGAACCAGTTGAGATGCTGAATGAATTTGATGAGGTGATTCCAGTTCCAGGGCGTTGGCATGTCTTGTTTGACACTGGCAATGAAGTAGCCACTGGCATATCCAGAGAGCTTCTATTGAAGTTGAACCTGCAACCTGATCCCAACAAGAAAAGGAAAGCTAAATTACCAGGAGGAGGGTCAGGCGAGTTTGAAACCATACAAATTGTGCTTGCAATTCGAGGATACCAGTTTAGTGTTTGTGCATTGGTTGATGCCCCGGCCAAGGGCACTGATCTGCTTGTGGGAATGGATGTCATTCAGCAGCTGTTTGACCTAGGGTATACTATTGGTGACTAACTTATGGTATATTTTAAGAATTTCTACAATGATGAATGCCATTTGCGGCAAACTCTCAATCTGTAGGAAGGTAATTAAATGTACAATGTATGCACATGTGTACAAGATCATTTTGCTGAACATGGGTTTTTTATTTTTTTATTTTTTTTATTTTTTTTTTCATTAAAGTCTACTTTTGTCTTTGTGACTATTTGATAGAATTCTGAAGCTGGTCATAATGTTAGAGAGCATGAAACACATTGCATTGTGCAGGCTTACCAATAAGTAAAGCTTCCAGAAGTTTGCTCCTTGTTTTTCTCCTGGACAGAATGCAATAAAGAGCTCACATCTATAATTACTTTTAGTATTTGTATATGTTTTTTTAGATATCTTTAGGGAGCATAAATAACTTAGGTAGTTCTCCAACTTCTTGGTGAAGGAGGGCCACAAGTTGATCTGTTTTTATGCTGTTTTGGGGCTTATTTATGATTTTAACTTTTATTATTTATTTATTTATAACTTCTCTATTTAACAACTATTTGCTGTATTTGAAATGAATTTAATACTATTGAATACCAGTAATCCCAAAGACAAAGTTGAGGGGATAATTCAATATTTTCACTGAGCCTGAGATATAGTTGTTTTAGTGTATTAATTGCTTGGGTGTGGTAGAATTCTGTGGTAAATATTTGTTTGAAGTTGAAACCATTCTCTTCCAGTTGTTTTAATTACTCACATCGAGATAAAGGGCCAGTTTCCACTACAATTTGATGGGTTCATGTAATTCAATCAACAAAAACTTCATATCTCTTTTTTTAAAGTGTTCCTCTAAACTTGATGGCACGTTTTTGCTCTTAGGAATTGAATTTTTTCTAATGCATTCATCACTTACTCGGTAACAATGTCAAAATACAAGGCAACTATTTTGAAATGTAGCACTCCTGTGACAAGATATGACAAGATATGATGCAATCCTTAACAATCACAGCGCAGGCAACTCTATAATCACCAGCAATTATACCAATGTAATATACGACATACAGTCGTACAATTAGCAAACGTCATCTACAATACGTCATACTGAACAGTAGTGATTTTTATCTAGAGTTTATTTATTGTACAATGTTAACCATCATAATGATGTAAAACATTTTGTACATTGGGGAAATGGAATCAAATTCCAAGAATTATAAATAAAGTATGTTCTAATGATAGTTATAGTTTTAAAATAAAGCTTTTAAAACTCTTTTGTTGAGGGTTTGAATGAAACAGGCATAATTTCTGGCCAATAAAACCCAATTATGAACTGAACAGTAGTAATTTTTATCTAGAGTTTATTTATTGTACAATGTAAACCATCATAACGATGTAAAACATTTTGTACTTTGGGGAAATTAAAGCTTTTAAAGCTCTGTTGTTGAGAGTTTGAATCAAACAGGCATAATTCCTGGCCAGTAAAACCCAATCAGTAATGGGTTTTGGGAACCATACAAGTAATTATTTCTATGCTTTTTTACCATTTTACCTCAGAACTGGTCCTTTGGGTGTCATGCAATGCGCATTATGTCATATATATTATACTTTTCACGCTCATTGTCATCATCGTCATCATCATTATTCTGGTGGGTTGGGGGGGAGGGGTTAAGGTTTGGGCCGGACACCTGCTCCCCAAGTAAAGTGCTGCATCTCCTATGGACTTTCCAGGTGAAGTGAATGCCACCTGATCACTGCCAGGTTTGTCAGGCAAGTGGTTACTTGCATATGGCCTCTCCAACATTACTGTGCCAGTAGCTGTTATCGCATCATCATTATTAAGATTATTAACCCCTACCCTTCATTAACATCATTATTAGCAACATATTATTATTATCATCATTACAGGGTTGTTGGACAATTATTAAAAAAGACATTATGGACCCATTAGCTATCACTACTTTGACTTGAAAGTTCCAGTCACTCCTTCCCCTCCAGATAATAACATTTCCCAGTAAAAAAAAACGGTTGCACAGTTTGTAGTTACAACCTTGATTCTGTTACTAATTCAGATCCTGTTTAATCTTCATGATGTGTCCGGTTTGAAGGATGCTGAGTGTTGCTCCTTAGCTTATGTTGATCCCAACAGAACAGAGCTTGGCATTGGCTATGTTCTTCCTTTTCCAGTGAGTAAATTATTTCTGTCACTAAGCACAGCAAATTTGACTGCAGGGTAGTGGAAAGTGATTCCAAGGAGAGGGTTGTAAAGAGAGCCTTCCTTTTTTCCATTAATTACTGGGATACCTGTGGTAGCCCAGTCATAAAATGCCTTTTGTTTTTTTGTCGTCTTTTTTTTTTTTT